ATCAACATCAGAAGGACTATAGTCCACAAGCAACAGGAAACAACAAGGAAGGAAATGGGAGTATCATAGATGATGTATGCCAAACCAAGCAGCAGCTTGAGAAATTTAACCTAAGAGAAACATCAGTCTTGGACCAGAGGAGAGTACCAGGGGAAGACAAAGGGAAAAAACAGCAAAATTAACCAAAAAAAGCCTGGAAGACTCATTGAAGATAGAGTCAGTGGACATAAATCAGAACTACAAAATGGTTTCAGAGGACATGAAAGATGACAGAATGTTTAGAGATATAGCAGGGAATGAAAAAAGAGGAATCAGAGAGGGAATTACCTAGAAAGATGAAAAAAGGGAAAACAAGGAAGGGCCCCTTAATATTGGAAACATGTTTATATTTATCATCTGGATCTGTAAAAGGGTATATTCTATATATTAAAAGGAGAACTAAATTGAAATAAGGGAGCCCGAATCAGGGTAAAGATGTAATATGGTGATTTTTTATTTTAGGCAAACTAAACTAGATATAAAGCTGGGTTGTGGATCTGGAACCACTTTCAATAAGAATGTTATTAGAAGATCCTGAGAACTTTATATAATATGAGAGTAATATTATGATAGCAGTTATATTATATACTAAAATCTGTATATGAATGGTTTGAAAGATGGTTGGAATTTGGGGGGATAATCGGGAAGACACTGAGATGTAAAAAACAAATAATTGCAAGCAAGTATGTAACACGATGTTTGACAAGCACAAACAATGTAGATAGATTGGAAAATTAATAAAAATGTTTTAAAAAAAGCACAGCACAAGGCAAGGTTTTTGCTTGCTAGAGGAAGAGGTGAAAGCGCAATTTATTTCTCAGACATCCTTAAGTGATTTCTTAAGTGAAATTTAAGACACTATGTCACCTAGGGGGGATAGATATTAATAAAAATGTTTTTAAAAAAAGAAAGCACAAGGCAAGGTTTTTGCTTGCTAGAGGAAGAGGTGAAAGCGCAATTTATTTCTCAGACATCCTTAAGTGATTTCTTAAGTGAAATTTAAGACACTATGTCACCTAGGATAGTGGGGATAGATAACTCAGTGCCTCCTAATTGAGATTGCTATGAATTTCCTAAGGGAGGGGGCTGGAGTGAGATCAAAATCTACAGTTTTAGAAAAGGTAATCATGTTAGTCTGTGCAAAACCTGTAAATGATGTCTGTCTGCACCAATGAAATATTTTGTGACAGGAGCTGGACTCGATGATCCATAGGATCCTTCCAGTTCTGCTGTTCTGAGATTATTATTACTATAGAAAGAGTAAGAACATGATCTTGTGGGATTTCTGGATCCAAACTGATAAGACACCTTGAACATAACATACCAGACGTAGTAGGGCATGCCAGAGTTGAAAATAAAAAACTGGAAAAAGTAACAAAGAACAGAGACCTGGAAATCAAAACATTTTGCTTGTAGATGAAACACGCGTCAGTGGTCCCCATAGTCATTGGGGCTTTGGGAACAATATCAAGAAATTTCATATCGTATTATAAGCAGTTGCAGATCTCAGAAATAACATCATCGGAGCTACAAAAAACAGCGACATTAGGAACAGCATACATACTGCACCGATATTTGATAAATATTTAGGTTTTTGGTTAAAGTTTGTATCTATTACAGTATATAATACCAGTTAATGTTTTTATAATCTTGATTGAATGTACTGGTGTTTTTGAAGGACAAGGAGAAGGAGGAGAAGCAGCTAGGATCTGTCATACCAGAAGCTCAACACACTTATTGAAACACCTGTTTGTAATGGGCTAAAATGGATTTCCACAAATGATAAAACTCAGGATGTAGTGTGTATATATTTAAAAAAATAATTTATATATATAAGCAATAATTTAAAACTTTTAAGAGAAAAACAGAGTTTAAATTTAAGTTGTACTGCAAGCTAATTCATTTATATTTTCTTTTAGGAAAGCAGAACATATATCAAGTTAATTAAACTCAGTTGCTCATACTAAAGAACAAAATGTAAAACAACAACAGCAGCTCATTCTAAGATACTTTATTTTTAAGAGGCCCAGCATTCTAAATTTAAACAAAACACGCTACTTACAATTACTGGGGGATCATTCCATTCTTCATAAGACGCGGCAGCATATGGGTAGATTCTATCATTTATAATCTTGAGGGTTGCCAAACCAATTGCTTTCATTGATTGAAAATAAGCTTCCCAGAACCATCTTGCCTGCAAAGAATAATGAATAATATTCTGACACCAAAATTTATGCCAGACTGCAAATATCAAACATCTGTATATGCCTGTTGTCTACATAAAACCCGACTATATTTTCAAAATCTGATACATGCCACCAACACTTAAAAACACACACAAAACAAAACGTTTCAATCCAGACTGGGCCTTTAAAGCTTAAAGTTCTTCAGTGATTCCACAATGATATAAGAAGTACAATAAACTGGCTACAATCAGAAACAAAGTTCAGAAACAGAGATCAGGAGAAAAAAGAAGACAGAGCCCATTTCTTTTCTGCCAAGCCCTTTCTCCCTTTCTTTCTAGTACCCTCTCCTCTCTCCCCATTTCTCCTTCCTTCTTACCACTGGCTACTACCAGGAAAAAGAGAAACCCCTTCCATTAGAGGTCTCTGAACTCACTGCTTACAGAAAGTTTTTGAAATTAGGCAAAGGGCCTAGATGGCAAAAGCAAAGGCACAACTGGTATACAACTGTTTAAGAAAGGGATCATTTGGTATTCAGCTCCTATGGTAAATATAAGGCATTGCAATATCTAGCTTTGACAAAGTGATTTAACCCCTTCAGAGTGACACTCTGCGCAAACAAAAACTCTTGCATCCTATATTCAATTTCCTCCACCCATATACCACCTTCCTCTAATAACTGTTTTGCTTCTTACATAACCTAATCTATAATTTATTTATTTAACCTATTATATTTAAAATATAAACATACCACCTTTTGTTAGAATTGATTCCAGAGGTTATATCAAAGCAATAAAACTATACTGTACAATGAAACAAGCCATTAGAAATAATTCTGAAGAAAAGGGTATCACGAAGTTAGGCTTTTGCCTGGCAAATGAAAAACAGCAATATTTTCCCCAGGCAAGTCTCCTTGGGAACAGTATTCTATGAATGGCACACTATGACTGAAAAGTCACTGTTTATTGGTTATTATGCTTGCCTTCTGACCAGATGCCTTCTTGTTCTTTAGTGGCCATACATGAAATGGCAGTCAGGTATGATATAGGCTGCAGTCTGAACCACACCTACAGTGGGGTCTTGACTTGAGAACTTAGTCCGTATTGGAAGGCGGTTCTCAAGTCAAAAAGTCTGTAGGTCAAGTCTCCATTGACCTACAGTGCATTGAAAACCGATTAATCCTGTAACAGGCCGTTTTTGTTCCATTTTGGTTTTTTTCTGGTCTGGCCATACATGAAATGGCAGTCAGGTATGATGTAGGCTGCAGTCTGAACCACACCTATATGGAAGCAAGTCTTGCTGAATTCAGTGGAGCTTACTTCTGAGTAAACACACAGAAGACACATTTAAAGCATAGGTGAAGCAATGCGACCTTCTGCATAACTATAGGATCATTTGTTGGTCACGCACAACAAATATCGTACAGAACTAGCAACTCCCATTCTAGGCCTTAATAACCAATACAGAACTTGCATAGGTGCTCACATGATGAGAGAAGCTGCAGCCAGAGAAGTCTGTAACTCAAAAAGTCTGTAAGTCAAGCCGTCTGTAAGTCAAGGGTCCACTGTATATGGAAGCAAGTCTTGTTGAATTCAGTGGAGCTTACTTCTGAGTAAACACACAGAAGACACATTTAAAGCATAGGTGAAGCAATGCGACCTTCTGCATAACTATAGGATCGTACAGAACTAGCAACTCCCATTCTAGGCCCTAATAACCAATACAGAACTTGCATAGGTGCTCACATGATGAGAGAACCTGATCTGAAATCTGGTAACAGCTGTCAAAAAATGACAGCACCCAAATCCTGTTACAGAATTCAAATCACAAAGATCTAAGCTGACAGCACATTCTTCCATTATATTTTAAGTCACCATTACCTATTCAAGATTAGTAATAAATATCATATTAAAATCAGTAATTTGTTGCTTGCTATAATATAGAACCAAAAGAGAACTTGGAATAAAACTGATTCGGAAAATTATACAACTCCATGAAACATACGTGCGAATATACCTCAAGTAGTCTAGACTTACAGAAATTCTTTTTTTAGCTCAATTGTTTCTATTACATGTAAGTGTCCAAAAGGCACTTACGGTAAATTTGAAGATATACCCAAGGTCTAGTATCAGCTGAGACGTAATAGTATGAGAGTTCATGTGTATGCACGTACATGCACATATGCATGTACACAGAACGTCAGCAATCAAAGGTTCTTTTCTCTCTAATGCATTGGCTAGACAGGCATTAGTACCTGAAGAGCCAGAAAATGAAGAGGCAAAAGCAGACATACACAGTCATCTGGCAACTGGACTGCAGTCAGTATTTTTCTGTAAATCTTCCATAATTTACCTTTTTCAGTTTCCCTTCTGCATCCATCTCTTCTAAAATCAGCACCAAAAAGTATTATATTTCCACACCTGGACTGGCAAAACCATAGGAGATGAGGAAGAAGGAAATTTACATTCATTGGCTGGAATCCTGTTGCGCAACTTTTACACCATGCAGGTGTCATGATGTCATCATCTGTGGTCATTTTGGGGGGCTTAAATATTTCCTGCCCCCCTCCCCATGAAAGGGGACCCTAGGGGAAGCCTCGTGAGCCAGAATGAGAAGTCTTTAATGTCCAAAAAGGGACCAGGATTGGCAACAATGATGTTTAGGCATTAAAGAGTTTTCTCCCCCAGTCTGTGGCTCAGTACCTCCCCAGAACAAAAGAGATCCACAGGGAAGAGCAAGCAGTAAACTTTTAATTTAATCAGAATGGCTGCACCTGATGATGCCATCACAGCTGCATGGTGTAAAGTAGTACAACAGGATTTAGGCCATTATGTAATTATTTTTCTTCATTTAAGAACACAAGAGTTTTATAAACGGGCTATCCTTTTTCCTAAGTCATGATTTTTTTAAAGTTAAAATCCAAAGCTTTTCAAAGGCACAGCAAGTCTCCAAACAGATGTTTTCAGGGTCAATGCTTCCTTCTCACCTTGTTTGCTTTTCCAGAAAATAAACTGATTAACATGACTAGTCAGCCATCCAGTACTACCCAACACAGAACATAACTGAGCACAGCAAGAAATTCTTCTACTTAAAAAGAGATGCACCTTTCCTATTTCATCAAAGGAAGCTTTGATTTCTCTTTTTTCTTTTCTCCAGTGCATGTAATTTAGAAGACGTAGACTAAAAGCAAACATGGGCACTTTCAGATGGCAGTTTTATCTAGTTCACACAATTTTTTAAAAAGAGATGTTATTGTGACAGCCTTCCTCACGATTCACAAAGGGAGTTTGTCACGTCACTTTAAAACACTTTACTCCACTTTACTGCCACCAACCATTCCTTATAAAATAAATTATACAAAAGGCCAGTATAACTTTCAAAATAAAAACTTCATTTATTGAGTACAAACATAAAGGAATGGTAAATCACTATTAAAGAAATAATCAATCAATCACTGTTTTTCAGGCACTAGCTATCACAGACTCTTTCTCACTGACTCTCACTGACTCTAAGAACACTTTAACCCTCAGCTCATTCTCTCATCTTAAGTTCCAGTCAGCAATGTCTCACCTCTGTCTTCTTTCTCTCACACACCCCTTTATACACCAGCTCCTCCCCTTAAGTTCCACCCTCCGTCACACCATTGGTCGATGACTCACTGCCCCAGCTGTGACGGACAGGTGAGGTCAGGGCTGCCTGTTACAGATGTATTATGGATTCAGGTAGAAAATCTATTGCTGTTTGATAGCTGGGACCAGTTCCTTATTGATGCCAAACCAGAATGCAACACTCAAAGGATACTCTGAATACATTAAAGAAAATAAATAAAATCTGTTGACCATTGACCTGAAAGCTGACAACTGTCAAAATGGCAGGGTTAAAAATAAACCACAAGAAAACAAAAATTATGACTACAAACATCCAGAAACAGGAAATTGATGAACTACTACAAATTACAAACTTCCAGGAAGGAAGGAAAGTAAAATGCTTGGGCATATTTTTCACAAAGAAAACAAGTACTCTCCTGAAAGATAATTATTTGAAACTGATAGAGGAAATTAAGAAAGACTTCTCTAGCTGGACAAATCTATAATTGTCAACGATGGGCAGAATCGCTACAACCAAAATGAATATTCTACCAAAACTCATATTTATTTATTTATTTATT